CTCTTCCTCCTCATTAACTGCTGCTACATTGCATTAAAAGACCACTGAAACAGAGTTTATATTTTTCTAATGTTGCATTTCCATGTTAGCAATTTATGAGTTTTCCACAGCTTGCACCAGTTCAGTATCACAATGTATGAATAAATGGTGCAGTTCTCAAAATCATTTGCAGTCAGCTTTAGTAACTGAATTAGAACAATTTTCTTGGTAAAAAATTTCCACTGTTACTACCACCAGTGATTGTGAACACACTTGTGCACACACTATTGTATACATCAACAGTTTAAAAAGCAAATGAAGTTGAAAGGGTTAGTAATTCTCTGTGCTACTAGGAGGGAAATTCAGATTTTATTAAACTGCCATTCCTAGTCTTTTGTTTCTGTGACACCAGGCATGGGAGTTCAGTGGAGTAAAATTATGCATTGAGGGGAGGGAATGCCTTGTCTATTGACAACAGTTTCTCTGGCCCATTGCAGAGCCCCATCTAAAGAGCTCAAACGCAGTTTTGAGTGTGCTTTTGTTGTGTGATGATGGCCTTGGCAGTAGTGAACTGTTCCCATGGGTGAAAAACAGAAATCTTTACCGATGTAATGGACTAAAGAATAAAGAGCAAGATGAAAACTAGTTTACACTCACTGGCCCTGCTCACTGTGGGTGTCACAAAGATTGCACTTTGCAACAAGATTTCCTGCCCTGCTAACAGGGACCTCAGAAAAGGTAGTTGTAATTCAAAACCTTATTTGCTAGTTTTATAGAAGACATGCTATTTTATTTTTGTAGTGTGCTTTATATAATTCAGTCTGGTATTTTTCCCATTGAAATTATTGACAAAACTTCTTTTGACTGCAGTGGGAGAAGATTGGGTTTAATGCCATAATAATTACAATTTTAAGTTTGAAGTTGTCCCTAGGTATTTTTAATATTTAAAGAGTTTAATCATTTCTGTGTAATAATTAAAAACCTGGTAAAAGAACATTATGGTTTTAAAACCACTATACAGATAGATATAATGCAACAGATTATATATTTGTATGTGCTACCCTAATTCTTTGTTTAGATATATTTAGAGTATGAAGGACCTTCATTTGTGGAATGGGACATTTCTACGTTATGTACTGTTACAAATAAAAGGTAAGGATTGCAAAAGTGAATAATAACAGCACAATGGTAACTCACATTGACTTTATTAGGAGCAGAGTTAGGTCAATTCTGAATACTTTTGAAAATTCCACCCAAAGTTTGAGAAGATCGTGTTTGTAAACACATTCAAATAAGATGGGCTTCTGTTAAGCCTGGCCATGTGCATTCATTTAGAGATCTGTTGGAAAACAAAATGTTATTTTTATTTCCCTTAAGAATTATGAAGTACAGATCCTTTGTTTCAGAATAGGAGTTGTGGGTTGAGATTTGCGGAGGAGACAGAGAAGCTGGTCCTGAGGTTTCTATACAATTTATATTGTAAGTTAAATATTTATCAATGTAATTGAAACACAGAATTAGGCATGGACGTATACAATATAAAGTCATTCTAAGTATACTATTTCTCCTAAACTTCCTTGCCTATGTACTGTACATGTGAGGAAACCTTAAGCCAAAAAGATTGATAAATACTTTAACATGTATATCTAAATTAAGAATTGCACAACATTTTATGTTCTTGGGGTTTTTGTTTTGTTTTGTTTTATTTGGTCCAGTGCATTTATACGAACAATGCTGTAGAAATAATATCTGTTTATATCCCAGAGATGTAAGGAGTCTATCACTGTAAAACATAAGTGCCGAATTGTATTCTATGTGTTATTTTTAAATAGAAACATGTCTGATTCTTTACATTTGGAGCAGCTAGGATCTTCAGGAGAAGGGACCCTATTTTAGACATTAGACTGCACAAAGGTTTCTAGATACATACTGTAAAGTGAGTGGGACTGACAAGACACAAGCTTTTTTGTCTAGGTATTCTTATTTGATAATTTAATGGCCAAGATACCTAATGCATTTGTGAGCTCCAGATTAGACCCAGCTACACTAGGAGTAGGAAACCCAAAATACCATTTTTTTTTAAAAAGCATCTCTGCCCCTAAATGACTGTTTAGCCAGAGTATGGTACAACCTTTAAAAATATTTCAAATTAAGAGAGGGATGTATTACAGCTCTTATCTGCATAGCACAGAGATCCAACACTATCTACAGTGTGGAGGGAGTACATAAAAGTTACACTAATGCAGTTACACTAAAGCCACTAATGTGGCTGAAAGTTTTGATAAGCAAAAGTCAGGTAAAAAGTTGTGGTTTCCAATGCAGCTTTAATTTGTCTATCTTGCTGTGTGTGTTTATATGTGTTATGTCTTTGAAATTATTGTATTGGTAAGCTTATTTGAATGTACAATCAGATATCACATATTTAAATAAACACATTTGAATGATTGCACATTCAGGCATATACATCTGTGTGTTAATGTGAATGTATTATCATTAGATTGCAAATTCAAATCCAGATGCAAAGTGCAGTTGTTACCCCCAAAATCCAGACTTAAGGCACCCCCACAATGGTTTGCCTATTTCAGTAACTCAATTGTCAGTTGTTTGTTTTGGTAGGTGAAAGGAGATGGCCCACCATAGAGGAATTGCCAGGGTTTTACTAGGGGTTACCCTATGACCTTCAGGAAACCCCCCAGAACAGACTCACTTTGTTTACCATTGGGAAGTCATGGATATAGCCTTCTGCTCAAAGGATTGACACTCAGGCAGTAATCTTTGAAAACAAAAATTTTCTTTATTTAATGTACCAATATTCCTGAAACAATAAATCTTTTAAAAGAACCAAAGCATATATCAAGAAACAAACATAAATTCTATTAGCACAAGTATGCACATTCAAGTACTCAATACTGCAATGTCATACAGTTTGAAATGGCTCCAAGTGGTTACATTCTACATGTGGTGATCAATCACATGTAGGATGCTGACAGCAATTCTAATTAAAACACTAAACTTTTATACATAGTAACATATATCCAACTTTAGTATCTCAAACATATTCATATGTCCTAGCTCCTTATACCATAGTTCTCATGCTTACTTTCTACAGTCTTCTTTTCCATCTGATCTGTCAAAAGGTCCTTCTGTTCAGTCTCAGTGCCAAGCTGCTGCTGCTGTTCTGCTCTGGCTGCTGCTGCCGCGCCTCTGCCACCTCTTTTTCGCTACTGCCGCTGCAGCTTGCGGTGATTTCTTGATCCATCACAACAATCTAGCCGCCTTCTTCCCTCTTCAGTGATTTTGCTCTCTTCCTGCTTCTTCTGACTTCTCCTGCTGACAACCTCTTCCTTCTACTCACTCACACACATCAATAGCACCACCACCAAGCTTGTCAGCTCTCCGCCTTATATATGATTTTTGGCCTACTTTGGTTATTTCCTCAATCCTTATCATTAGCATACCTCTCCTCCAATCATTTTTAAGTCCCCTCTGATTGCTCCATTCTTATTAACCAATTACAGACACTAAACCTATCTGTCAATTAAAGCTGGACCTGATTGAAAACCTGCACCTGACATGACTGACCCCTCCCTTTAGGTTTTGGAGTAATCTTTATCTAACCTCAGCCTGCCTGCTTGCTATAGGCCGAATTACTCCAAGACTGCCATTTTAATCTTTGTGGCTCTGATTATCTGCAACTACCTAGTCCTAACTGCTTAAAACTGTCTTTATTAGTTATTAAATTCTTATAACTATAAACAATTATTATTTTCTTAGGTTTCAGAGTAGCAGCCGTGTTAGTCTGTATCCGCAAAAAGAACAGGAGTACTTGTGGCACCTTAGAGATTAACAAATTTATTAGAGCTTAAGCTTTTGTGGGCTACAGCCCACTTCTTCGGATGCATATAGAATGGAACATATATTGAGGAGATATATATAATACATCTATATGCATCTTAATATTAGGATGCACTGTCACACTCCAATTTTTGCCTAATTTTAGATCATTTAATTTTGATATTTCCTTCACTTCAGCTAGTGGTGGCAGGGCAATGTTCTTAATGCTGTATTCCGTACACAGAATAGAGCAGCTGAAAGATCTCTCATACCACCGTGTGTCTTACACAGGTGTTGAGATATGAAATAGGTAGACAGCTATTTTAAATGCAGTATGTTTTATAAGGGTGTAGCACACTGTGGACTTGTCTGCATATAGTTTTATACCACTTTAAATATATCAGTTTGAAACTAATATAGTTGAAACAGTCCGACCCCATATTGTGGACGCAGTTCTGTTGGCATAAAGGTGCTTTATATTGTGATGTACAGTTTAGGGTATGTCTACACTACAAACGCTACAATGGTGCAGCAGCAGCAGTAGCGTAGACACTTACTACAGTGATGGAAGGGGTTTTTCCTTCACTGTAGTAAATCCACCTCTCCGAGAAGCAGTAGTTAGGTTGACAGAAGAATTCTTCCATCTATTGGTATCTACATGGGGCTTAGTTTGGCTTAATTATGTTGCACAGGGCATGACATTTTTCACAGCCCTGAGCAAGGTAGCTAGGTCAACCTAAATTTTAGGTGTAGACCAGGCTTTTGTCTCATAAATGTAAGGGAATACGCTATACTGGTATAAGGCACCTGTACATTGGTATAACTGGGTTCACACTAGGGATTGTACTCATTTAGCTATTATGGTATAAAAAATACCAGATCTAGCTGAAGTAGTGACATGGGTACAAAGACTGTGTGTAGATTAGGTCTAAGCTGCAAAGCTGAGTACATTGATTTTGAACTGAACAGGCAATCTAATGATAGTACATTTAAAAAATGGTTGGGGAATAAGGAAGAGGAAGGTTTGCTCAGTTTGAAAGATGAAGGTTGGGGAGAAATTAGATCCTAAGTAAAAGTTAAGACTGAGTGGACCAGTCAGAAGTACATATGTGTAGTGTTAATTAATATTAAATACCTGGCTGTTTGTTTTTTAATTACTGTAGTTCACCTACAGCAACACTGAACTGTCCAGTTCCTGGAATTCACAGGATTAGACCAAATGTTGACAATGAGGTAAGCTGTCAATAATAATTATAAGAAATTCATAGTGCACTGTGGTCAGGTCCATGTGTTCTTAGTGATTTTGCAGTATTTGCCACAGAGTCCACTTCAGTGGATCAGAAACTAAATGTGAGTCAACAGTGTAATACTATTGCAAAAAATGTTAATGATCCTGGGACATATTAGCAGGAGTGTTGTAACAAAGACACTAGAAGCAGGGCCGGCTCCAGGCACCAGCGAAGGAAGCAGGTGCCTGGGGTGGCCAATAGAAAGGGACGGCAGTCTGTCCGTTGTTGGGGCGGCAGGTCTGGGGCAGCGGCAGCGGCACTTTGGCAGCAGCTCAATCGGTCCGCTTCAGTTTTTGGCGGCAATTCGGCGGCGGGTCCTTCACTCCCTGTCTTCCACTTCAGCGGTAGCTCAATCTTCTTTTTTTTTTTTCTTTTTTTTTCTTTTTGCCGCTTGGGGCGGCAAAAAAGCTGAAGCCGGCCCTAACTAGAAGTAATTCTTCCATTCTACACAGCACTGATCAGGCCTCAACTGAAATACTGTGTCCAGTACTGGGCAGCGCACTTCAGGAGAGATGTGGAGAAAGTCCAGAGGAGAGCAACAAAAATTATTAAAGATCTAGAGAACATGATCTATTGGGAAAGATTGAAAAAAAATGCGTTTGTTTAGTCTAGAGAAGAAAAGACTGACGGGGGACACGGTAACAGTCTTCAAGTATGTAAAAGGTTGTTATAAAGAGGAGGGTGATAAATTGTTCTCTTTATCCACTGAGGACAAAACAGGAGGTATTAGGGTCAAATTGCAGCAAAGGAGATTTAGGTTAGACATTAGGATAAATTTCCTAACTGTAAAAGTAGTTAAGCACTGGAACAAATCACCTAGGGAGATTGTGGAATCTCCATTGTTGGAGGTTTTTATTAACATCTTTGGCAAACACCTGTCAGGGATGGTTTAGATAACACTTAGTCCTGACCCAGTGCAGGTGACTGGACTAGATGACTTATCAAGGTCTCTTCCAGTCCCACATTTCTGATTCTATGATTAGTTTTATAATATTGCTCCAGAATCAAATCTTTCTACCCCTAATGGTTGTGAAAGAACCTTCCAAATGTCAACTGAGTGTAACCAATGCAGTGATGTATTCCTGAATCTGCTAACAGACTGAATCAATAGCTCAGAGATGTCTGAACAGCCCCCATTCATCATATTGAGGTGTGTGATGAGGTATACAAACACCACACTGGCCAAGGTTAATAGGATGATGCGGGCTCAAACAGCTCCACTCCCTTCTCCTGCAGAGCTTTCAGTCTTGGAGGGGGGCACTTGAACAAAGGAGAGAGCTCATTTGTGAATGGACTTGAAAGGAGAATAGACTGGCAGCTCCCTTGTTGTGTGAGAAGCCTGAGTAGAGCCAGGAGCTGACTAAAGACTGTGATCTGCTAGGACCTCCCTGTGGGAGTGTCAAGGCTCCTTCCCCACTCTGAACTTTAGGGTACAGATGTGAGGGCCTGCATGAAAACTTCTAAGCTTAACTACCAGCTTAGATCTGGTTCGCTGCCACCACTCCCAATGTGCTAATTCCCTTCCCTGGGTAGCCTTGAGAGACTTTTCACCAATTCCCTGATGAATACAGATCCAAATGCCTTGGATCTTAAAACAAGGAGAAATTAACCATCCCCCCTCCTCTCTCCCACCAACTCCTGGTGGATCAAGATCCAACCCCCTTGGATCTAAAAACAAGGGAAAATCAATCAGGTTCTTCAAAAGAAGGCTTTTAATTAAAGAAAAAGGTAAAAATCATCTCTGTAAATCGGGATGGAAAATAACTTTACAGGGTAATCAAACTTAAAGAGCCCAGAGGACCCCCCTCTAGCCTTAGGTTCAAAGTTACAGCAAACAGAGGTAAACACCTTAGTAAAAGGTACATTTACAAGTTGAGAAAACAAAGATAAAACAACCACGCCTTGCCTGGCTGTACTTACAAGTTTGCAATATGAGAGACTTCTTCAGAAAGATTTGGAGAGCCTGGATTGATGTCTGGTCCCTCTTAGTCCCAAGAGCGAACAACAACCAAAACAAAGAGCACAAACAAACACCTTCCCCCCACCAAGATTTGAAAGTATCTTGTCCCCTTATTGGTCCTTTGGGTCAGGTGTCAGCCAGGTTACCTGAGCTTCTGAACCCTTTACAGGTAAAAGGATTTTGGTGTCTCTGGCCAGGAGGGATTATAGTATGGTACACAGGAGGGCTGTTACCCTTCCCTTTATAGTTATGACAGGGAGATTAGGCCTGTCACTGACTATTAGTTTGGTTTTTTTACCTGTGGGTGGCTGGGTGGGTGTTAAGACGAGCCGCTGCAGGTGGGGTCCTCCTGAAAAGAAGGAGGCTAAAAACTGACCCCAGCAGCGCTGAAGATTCTTTTGGTTTGTGTTTATGTTGAACTTTGACTTGGAGGTTCCACTTCCCTGGAAGGGACTGAACACTGTCAGTGACCTGGCCAGCATCTAAACCACATCCATAACTCCAATAATGCAAATTTCATTATCAACATTACCATTATCCTTACCTATTTTATTAAAGGGGGACATGATAGAAGTCTATAAAATCATGAATGGTGTGGAGAAAGTGAATAAGGAAGTGTTATTTACCCCTTCACATAACGCAAGAACTAGGGGTCACCCAATTAAATTAATAGGCAAAACAAACATAAGGAAGTACTTCTTCACACAATATGCAGTCAACCTGTGGAACTCGTTGCCAGGGGATGTGGTGAAGATCAAAAGTAGGGCTGTCAAGTGATTAAAAAAATAATCGCGATTAATCACGCGATTAAAAAAATCACGCTGTTAAACAATAATAGAATACTATTTATATAAATATTTTTGTATATTTTCCACATTTTCAAATATATTGATTTCAATTACAACACAGAATACAAAATGTACAGTGCTCACTTTATATTTATTCATTATAAATATTTGCACTGTAAAAATAAAAGAAATAGTACTTTTCAATTTACCTAATACAAGTACTGTAGTGCAATCTCTTTATCATGAAAGTTGAACTTACAAATTTAGAATTATGTACAAAAAATAACTGCACTGGAAAATAAAACAGCGTAAAACTTTAGACCTACAAGCCCACTCAGTCCTACTTTTTGTTCAGCCAATCACTCAGACAAACAAGTTTGTTTACATTTGCAGGAGATAATGCTGCCCGCTTCTTGTTTACAATGTCACCTGAAAGTGAGAACAAGTGTTCGCATAGCACTGTTGTAGCCGGCATTGCAAGATATTTACATGTCAGATTCACTAAAGATTCATATGTTCCTTCATGCTTCAACCACCATTCCAGAGGACATGGGTCCATGCTGATGACGGGTTCTGCTCAATAACGATCTAAAGCAGAGCAGACGGAGATGTTCATTTTCATCATCTGAGTCAGATGCCACCAGCAGAAAGTTGATTTTCATTTTTGGTGTTTCGAGTCCTATAGTTTCTGCATCGGAATGTTGCTCTTTTAAGACTTCTGAAAGCATGCTCCACATCCTGTCCCAGTCAGATTTTGGAGGGCACTTCAGATTCTTAAATCTTGAGTCGAGTGCTATAGCTGTCTTTAGAAATCTCGCATTGGTACCTTCTTTGCGTTTTGTCAAATGTGCAGTGAAAGTGTTCTTAAAAAGGCATGCCGGGTCATCATCTGAGACTGTCATCACATGAAATATATAGCAGAATGCGGGTAAAACACAGAGCAGGAGACGTACAATTATCCTCCAAGGAGGTCAGACACAAATTTAATTAACGCATTATTTTTTTTAAGAGCGTCATCAGCATGGAAGCATGTCCTCTGGAATGGTGGCCAAAGCATGAAGGGGCATACGAATGTTTAGCATATCTGGCATGTAAATACCTTGCATTGTCAGCTACAAGAGTGCCATGCGAACATCTGTTCTCACTTTCAGGTGACATTGTAAATAAGAAGCGGGCAGCATTATCTCCCATAAATGTAAACTAACTTGATTCTCTTAGTGATTGGCTGAACAAGAAGTAGGACGGAGTGGACTTCTAGGCCCTAAAGTTTTACATTGTTTTGTTTTTGAGTGCAGTTATGTAACAAAAAAAATCTACATTGTAAGTTGCGCTTTCATGATAGAGATTGCACTATGGTACTTGTATGAGGTGAATTGAAAAATACTATTTCTTTTGTTTATCATTTTTACAGTGCAAATATTTGTAATACAAATAATATAAAGTGAGTACTGTACACTTTGTATTCTGTGTTGTAATTGAAATTAATATATTTGAAAATGTAGAAAAACATCCAAAATATTTAATAAATTTAAATTGGTATTCTATTGTTTAACAGTGCGATTAATCATGATTAATTTTTTTAATCGCGATTAATTTAGTTTTGTTAATCGTGTGAGTTAACTGTGATTAATTGACAGCCCTAGTCAAAAGTATAAGTGGGTTAAACAAAGAATTAGATACATTCATGGAGGATAGGCCCATCAATGGCTATTAGCCAAGATGGTCAGGGATGCAACCCGATGCTCTGGGTGTCTCTAAACCTCCAACTGCCAGAAGCTGGGACTGGATGACCAGAGATGGATCACTCAATAATTGCCCTGTTCTCTTTGTTCTGTCTAAGGCATCTGGCACTGGCAGAAGACAGGATACTGAGCTAGATGGACCACTGGTCTGTCTCAATATAGCCATTCTTATATTCTTATGTTTTTTGCTTCTAATTTTAATATCCAGTAAGGTGCTTGCCTCACAAACCTGAACTGCCTCCTGGATCTTCCCTCATGTCAAAACCCAACTGTCTCCTATTGAACAGCCAAAACCTTCATCTTCCTCACAAACATTTCTATGATACTGTTAAGGATTTTTGTATCAAATTTTGCAATACAAAGAAAGTTAACAAATGAGGAGCAGTGTACATTGATTCTAATGTCAAATTAAATAACGTGATGTGATACTATAGTGAATGCATTATTCATTTTCATATTTAGTTAAGTAGAAGCCTCAGTTCTAAATTTATTTGTGCCAGTCACAGAATCTCCAATCTGTTGCATTGGAGTGCCACTGATTGCAGGGATCTTGCCACAGAATTTTGGTTAAGCTTGCCATGAAGTTCCTGGGATTTGACTACGATTATTTTTTTATTTTATTTTATGAAGAATATATACAGTATTGTGGGAGGAGGGAGCTCAGTGGGATGTGGTTATTTTAAAATTTTCTAGTAACAATTGAGTGTATTATACAATAAAGAACACTTAAACATACTCTTTAAATCACCCCAAAGAGGGGAAGAAATAAATTTAGCTTTTTATCAATCTTTTTTTCATGGGTCCCCACTCTGTTTTATGTCTATGCCCTCTAGCGTGCAAGCTAGAAACTCTCTACATAGGTGTGTCCATTGTGGTTGTTCATGTACCCTGATTATCTCCTTTTATGGGATGCCATCACAGAATCCCTCGGGATCAGGCTAGGGCCGGCTCTAGCATTTCTGCCGCCCCAAGAAAAAAAAAAAAAAAACCGCGATCGGCGGCAGCAATTGGAAAAAAAGAAAAAAGCCGCGATCAGCAGCAGGTCCTTCGCTCCTAGAGGGAGTGAGGGACCTGCCGCCCCCGAATTGCCGCAGGTGCCGCCCCTCTCCCTTGGCCGCCCCAAGCACCTGCTTGTTAAGCTGGTGCCTGGAGCCGGCTCTGGATCAGGCTTTCTTTAAGTATGGAGCCCACTTCGCTGATGACCAAAACCTTGACATCAACTGTCATGGAAATTCTGTGAAGAGCATTGTAATGGGTGGGGGACAGGGATGGGGCTTGGAGGGCCGGTCAGCCTAGTGGTCGGAGTACCTAGCTTCCTGCCCCTGCTTCTGTGGTCAAAGGGTCTCAGCCTCTCAGGTAGGGGGAACCCAGGATGTTCCATTTCACCAGGTCCCAGCCCAGGGCTCTGTGTGAATCACCCTTGAGTAGGGGACTTCCCAGCAGGGAGTCTACGTTCATTGCCCTGGGCTACTTCTTACCGTGGTCCTTTTAGTTTGGGGCGTGTAGCCCTATGGTCCCTGTCCCTGTGGTGCCTGGTCTCTTAGTAGTGTCCCCTCATGGACCCTGGGTAGCATCCTTCTGCGGTCCCAGGTTCCTCCAGGTGCAGCAGTCATAAGTTTGGTAGGGTCAGAAAACGCCTCCCTCCTCGCCCCAGGTCTCTACTTCAGTTACGAGGGTTCCTCTCAAGCCAGGTATTCCTAGGCCTCTTTCTCCATCTCCTTTGCCAGGACAACACTGCTTGGTCTCTGGTGGCTGCCTCAGCCAACAGGCTAGTGACCCTTCCCTCAGGTAGAGAGATAGCTAGCTCCTGCCTCTTCACTGGTCAGCCCCGACCTGAGCCAGGCTCCCTCCTTTTCTCTCCTGCCATGTCTGGCATTAGCTGTGGGAATTACAGGGTGGAGCTAGCTGGGCCCAAAGTCTCTCCTTAACCCTTTCCATGCTGGTGTGTGGTGTCTCTACTTCACCACCAGCATCTTGGAAGGGATGAGGCCTACATGGCTACCTCCACCAGATGGCACTTGAGGCAACTTTCTCAAGCCATGAGCACATGGAACAGTGTTCAGGATTGTGCTCCCTGTACCATCTCAACGATGCCTTGTAACAAAGGGGGAGATGCACAGTGGAACCCTGGAGATAAAAAAGGGTACAGAGGGCTTAAATCTTGGCAAAAGTGACCTAACAATAATTAAAATAATAAAACACAGAAATGTTGTGTAAAGGGATTAAAGAAGCTTGCAGCATATACTGCTGAGTTCCTGCTCACTGCCTATGGCCCTCAGGTAGGGGGGACCCAGGACGTCCCATTTCACCAGGTCACAAGTGGTAATTGTGGCTTCCATCTTTATATACCTTCAGATAGGGTGGCACAAAGACATTGGCAAGATGCACAAGTAACCCCAACAGACTGGATGCAAGCAAACAATATGCATGTTAACATGGCTAAATGTAAAATATACGTCTAGGAACAAAGAAGGTAGGCCATGCTTACAGGATATGGGACTATCCTGGGAAGCAGCAGCTCTGAAAAAGATTTGAGAGTTGTGGTGAACATGAGGTCCCAGTGCGACACTGTGACTGAAAGGGCTAATGTGATCCTTGGATGCATAAACAGGAGAGTTATTTTACCTCTATATTTGGCATTGGAGTGACAGCTGCTGGAATACTGGGTCCAGTTCTGGAGTCCACAATTCAAGAAGGATGTTAATAAATTGGAAAGTATTCAGATAAGAGCCATGAGAATGATTATAGTGATAGACTCAAAGAGCTCAATTTATTTATTTTACAAAGAGAAGGTTAAGGGATGGCTTGATTACAGTCTATACGTACCTACATGTGGGACAGATATTTGATAATGGGCTCTTCAGTCTAGCAGAGAAAGGTTTAACATGATCCAATGGCTGGAAGTTGAAGCTAGACAAATAAGGCATACATTTTTAACAGTGAGAGCAAATAACCATTGGAACAATTTACCAAAGCTGGTTGTGGATTATCCAACACTGTCAATTTTTAAATCTTGATTGGATGTTTTTCTAAAAGATATGTTCTTGGAATTATCTTGGGGAAGTTCTATGGCCTATGTCATACTAGATAATCCCTTCTGACCTTGGAATCTATGACTTTGCTATTGAAAAAGGTCCAAGCTCATGCACCTAGTGTGAATCCATGCAAGCAACCATTTTAAAGAAGCAGAATTCACAGACAGTGCAGCAAATAATTGGAATGTCTTCCAGGAAATATTTTATAAAGATCCAAGGGAGGAATATGATCAATGATTACTAAATCTCCCCAAAACAATTTAATATTCGTAGGTCATTCCAATGTATGATCCCCAAAAAAACAAGTCCATACATACTGGACAGTGAACACATATGGACTTTTGACAGTTAATCAGATTAACAGAAAAAAATCTCTTCCAGTGGAATGTTCCTTAGAAGGTGTCACAGATCTGGTCATGCTCCCCCCTGCCAACCACCCACCAGAGTGCTGTGAGGGGAATCCAGTCCTTTGGATACCTAGGTGTTCTAACGTCTTGTGGGTTTCAGCAGGCTGCTGCACTATTTTCAACCTTGGCCTCTCTGGCACATTTCTTGGGCACTAACACTCAGTCTGCTACGCCTTAGTCTACCTGCCTTAAGCACCCAGAGTTAGTGCTAACCTGCAAAATACCCCAGTAAACACACCCTCTCCCAGAATCCCAGTGAAGGTGTGAGACTTTTGGGTTATAGTTTAACTCTCTCAGGAGGCAACTGATAGTTGTGAAGTATGTAACACACATGGACATTTTGCACAGGACTCTAATACCATTGCTCTTTTACTTAATGGATAAAGCACAGAAGAGTAAAGATAATTTAGAAAATAACAGTAGCTCTCCCTTTCTTTGGGGGTTTATCAATGCACAAGAAGGCAGGTTTCTCCCTGCCTCATCAGGCTCCTACATGCAGCTCCTCTCTGCTTGATTTGATGAAAAATGGCTGAGAAGTCCCCCAGTAGAGCAGCTCTTGTGTTTTTATACCTTCTGTGAAGTGGAGACTGCTATTCATGCTCCTTTGATGCCACCATCAGGTCTGGTTCATTTTTTATTGTTTGGTGCTGAGGAAAGAGAGAGCTGTAAGAGGAAATAAAAAGGGAATAGATAAGAGGAAACTGTATTATGATTGAACTGTTCCTACATTTCTTTCTTCACAAACATTGCATTAAATTGTAATAAACAATACATTAACAAATATAACGAACATGAGATATAAAAGTCTTTATATGTAGTTACCTGGACACACAAAATGCTTGGAGTGAAATCCTGGCTCAATTGAAGTCAATGGCAAAATTGCCGTTGACTTCAGTCAGGTCAGGATTTCACCTTTGGCCTCTAGGGCCCTACTCCTGTGAACACATATGCACATGACTAGTTTCACTGAATTCAGTAGACTACTTGTGTACATAAAGATACTTACATATATAAATGTTAACATGATCAGAGCCTAAGGATGGTATCATGTAGATCATATATAAACATGAAGCATGTTTTTTTCCCCTGTTTTAGACATTAGTGAATGTGGACCGCCATTTGCCTATCTCTGAACATTTGAATTGCTTTTTGTGGTATGTGCTGAAAAGTTCTCCAGAGCAGAGGTAGGTGATTTCATATGAGACCTTTTCTCCATGTGTATATATTTGGAGATGTATGATTTAATTGTATTTGGCTATCGTTTGTGATTTATCTAGTGATGTGACACAAAAATGGTCAATAATCATTTGTTATGCTGCTCAGTTACGTTAAAAAGTATGGACCAGATATAAGGGTTTTCTATAAAAGAAAAAAGTGGCAGTTAATTCAGGCTTGCAGCTGCTTTGCCTTACTTGAGTAGTGCAAGCAAGCTGGAGTGTTCCAGTGAATCTGGTCCAAAGTGTGTGCAAGCAGTATGTCAGGTAATGTCTTTGTAGCTTCTCAGATTTCAGGACAGTGCAAGACAACAGTGAATGAGAGTCATTGTATAGCATTTGCAAAAAAGTCTCTTTTTTTAAAACATCCATTACTTAAAAAATGGTTTGACTAACTGCCCTGAAACTTTAAAAGAATATCTATTTTAGTTTAAAAAAAATATTTTTTCCCATGCAAAGTTATAAGGGAAGTGAATGTAGCCGTTCACTAAAATTCTAATTACAACTTAAACCATGGCCTGGTCTACACAAGGAAATTAGGTCAGAATAACTGTGTCACTCAGGGGTGTGAAAAATCCACAGCCCAGAGTGAACCAGTTAAACCAACCTAACTCCCAGTGTAGACAGCAACCGTAGAATTCTCCTGTTGACCCAGCTATCACCTCTTGGGGAGGTGGAGTACCTACGCCAACAGGAGAACCCCTCCTGTCAGCATCTTCACTGAAGCGTTACAGCTGCAGTGGTGCTGCTATGCCACTGTAGCAGTTTATGTGTAGACAAACTTTATGGAACTGCTATTGAATGGCTCAATATTTAACAGTTGGACACAACAAATCCATTGTTATAAATGATTAATTAGTGACTAAACCACACGCATGTGCACAGCTGGGACTAGAACTTCTGTAATTTAGCGCCAAGAATATAGAGGTGAAATCCTGGCCTAATTGAAGTCAATGACAAAATGCCCATTGACTTCAGTGGGGCAAGGGTTTCTCCCCAGATTGCTACCTCCTAAGCTAAGGGAAATCTGTTAGAGTTGTAATGAATAGACAGAACCTTTTGTTCTCTCTAAATCTGCAATCCACTGCCAGAGGGCAAGCTGCTCATAAACACAATGTAGCCATTAAAATTAGCACTCTCTGGGGAAATTCTGCGACAAAAAATTAAGAATTCTATGCATAATATTTTAAAATTCTGCAAATTTTATTTGTCAAAATAACACAATATAATCATGCCAGTTTCAATTATTTTTGTAATTTATTTCAAAATACCTGTCAGCAAGTATGTCTAACAATACAGCCATGACAAATAGATTCCTTACTAGGCATATTAATACAGAACTTTGAGTAATAATTCATTTAAACTACAATACAGAAACGTATTTCCCGTACCCCTCAAAAGCAGTGCAAATGCTTGTGGGAGTCAGGAGTAATAGAGGAGCTAAGGGAGAGGGAAGTAATTGCTGGGAATGAACCTGGAGGGTTTTGAGTGTGGGTGGAGGAAGTATGGAACAGGTTTTTTTCGGGGTGGGGGGGATTGTTAGAAAGTTGGGGAGACTCCTCCATGTCGACCCTGGCTGACCTCTAGCTTATCCCATTCAGTCAGGCACATCTGCCCCAGTCCCCATGTGTGTCTGCTCCATCACTTGGCCTCCCCTCTTCCCTCATCCCCATGTGTCTCTGCACCCCTACTTGGCCACCCCTCTTCCTCCAGTCACCATGTGTTCCAGCACCCCCACTCATCCACCCTGATCCCCATGTGTCCCTGCACCCCCTCCCTCTGTCCCCAGATGTCTCTGTACCCCTCCCCATGTGTCCCTGCACCCCCACTCAGCCATCCCCATGTGTCCCTATACCCCCACTTCCATTCAGTCCCAGCCTCAGTTTGTCCCCGCCCACTAGCCCAGTCTATGTGGCTCCCCCAGAAGCCCCATCTGTCCCATTCTGTCTGTCGTCCCCCCCCATATTCTGTGCCTCCTCACCTGGCCCAGCCGGCATATTGCTTTGAGGAATGCAGCCACTCCTCCTCCCGCTTGGGTGCTACCACCAGTGAGCCGGTTGCCCTCTGTTCTGGCTCCACAATAGCTGCTGGTGGGCAAAAGTTGTAATTGCAGCACCTCTCTGGCAGAATGTATTTTCTGCAGAGAAAAAAATTCTGCAGGGGACATGAATTCTGAATGTACACAGTGGTGCAGAATTCCCAGAGGAGTAAAATTAGATAAAACATTAATTAATAACTTTACTTAATTACAACCTATTTTGTTCATATATAGAGTTTCTTCTTACTATGTGGAAAGTTTGTCAGAGTAGTAATAAGCCATTTTTGTGCTAGTGGGACATAAAGAAATGCCAGATGTAAGTCAGTGTTTCTATGAGGGTGATATTTTAATGACTCGCAACTCAAAACCTAACAATAAGACAGCTTAACCAATTTTCTTCAAACTTTGCTGAAAAATTCTTCTTAGCTTTCTGAATAAAACTGGCAAGGTCCAGGTCAAGACAGTAGCCCATGTTGCCCCTTTTTGGTCTGAACAGTTAGCCCACATTTGAGGACTTGCCAGGTTGTTTCCGTACTTCTTCTTATATGGCATCTCTGTTACTAGATGTTTGCAACCATGTTAGCCCATTCTGTATGGTCCTCTGCTAATCACTTTGTGGATGAATAGTCCTTTTGATCCACCCAGAATACATCATCCATCCTAGCTCTTTTTTCTGTCTTGCATTCTTCTACCATCAACTTTCCCTTCCAGGGCCTGAAAACATGCATCATCTATTGAACCTCTTAAATGTGTCCTGGAAATCAAATCTTTTTTCATAAGATTTCCCACTAATGTTTGCTGAGTTGTTTTTGATAGGCGGATACATTGATGATGATACTAGCTGTATATTTATTTGATGCAGTCCTGTTTATTTACAAAGGATGTACACAAAGTCCTGTTTCCTTCAACATAGTAGAAACAAACAACAGCAAGCAGTTTCCTGGCTCACATTTTCCAAGCTTGTCTTTCTTGTAAGTAATGTACTCCAAGGAACTCTCTCTCTCTGCTCCCCATCAGGGCCATGCTCAAACTGCTTGTCTGGCTTTCTGCCTCTCACACACCCAAACAAACATAGCTGCAACCAATCAATCCCCTAACTCTTGCAGTCAGTCCCAGGGAAACCCGTCAGCCTACATGTCGTCTGCACTTCTGATAGACCTGGCCATACAACCTTGGGTGATGTCTTCCTATTGTTTCCAGTTGTCAGTACATAAAGGTTGTTTGAAATGTTGTAGCCGTGTTGGTCCCAGGATATTAGAGAGACAAGATAGATGAGGTAATATCTTTTATGTGTTAACTGCTTATCCTAGACAGTCTGTTTCACCTTGTGTTTAGCTGTGACGCTCTGGGTATGTCTACACTGTGATAAAAGACCTGTGGCACAGCTGTGGCTGGCCCAGGTCAGCTGGCTCAGGTTCGTGGTTCTCGGGCTACAGGGCTATAAAATTGCAGTACAGATGTTTGGGCTCGGGCTGGAGCCTGGACTATAAAACCCCACGAGGGGGGAGAGTCAGAACCCAGTCTCCAACCTGAGCCCGAACATCTACACTGCAATTTGTAGTCAAGCTCTGTGAGCCCTTGTCAGCTGACTCGGGCTCTGAGACTCGGGTGCCCTGGGTTTTTGATCACAGTGTAGATGTACCCTTTGAGTACCTTTCTCAGACCTGAAGAAGAGCTCTTTGTACATGGGCAGCACATGAACTGCTGGCTGGGGGAGGCTAGCCCCGCCCCTTCAGCCTGAAGCCCTGCCCCTTCCGCCCCCCCCAGCCTCAGAGTGACCCCCCCCCAGCCCTGGAGCGGGCAGCGTACCCCCCCTCCCAGCCCCAGAGCGATGGGAGGGTGGGTAGCGTGGCCCGAGCTGAGGCCACCCCACAGGGAGCCTGGAGCAGCCACACAGAGTGGAAGCAGGAGGGGGCGACTGGGGGCAGAGTGTGGGCAGCTAGATTCCCTCTGCCCCAGCCCTGAGTCCCCTCCCACGCTCCAAACCCCACGGCCCACACCCACCACACATCACTTCCATGTTGGTGCACATAACAAAATTCATTCTGCACATGGATGTAAAAAATTAGAGGGAACATTGGTGGGTGGGGCCATGCCTGACTGTCTGGGGAGGCACAGCCTCCCCCAGCCTATGGTACCCGCCTCCACAAGGGGAGTAGCTACCAGCGCTGGGAGCACAGCTACTGTCTACACTGCCACTTTACAGCGCTGAAACTTGCAGCGCTCAGGGAGGTGTTTTTTTCACACCTCTGAGTGAGAAAGTTTCAGCGCTGTAAAATGGCAGTGTAGACCAGGCCTAAGTTGATCTAACTTATGTCGGCATATAGCTGCCAAAGTAATTACATCGCTTGCGTGTGTCTACACTTTGCTCCTTGTGTGCGTCCTCACCAGGAGTGTTTGTATCAATTGTACTGTCAATGAGGGGCATTGTGGGATGGCTTTTGAGAGCCAGTAATAATGGTTGTAAGCAACACAGTGTCTACACTGACACTGCATTGACCTAACTACATTACCGTTGACCTATGCCTCTTGTGAAGGTGGAGTTATTAAGTCAGTGTAGTGAGGCAGTTATGTCGGCGGGAGCAAAATTTTAGTATAAATACTTACATAGTTAGGTCAATGTAAGGCAGCTTAGGTCAACCTAACTCTGTAGAGTAGACCAGGCCTGAGTTACCCTAACTAGTTGGTCTAGAGCATGTTGTGATGGGGCGCACTTGCCCCACGTTCGTATGAAGAGGGTTAACTCACCTCTCTGGGCCGAGGAGGCCACACCCTCACAGCCCTGCAGGGCATGCTCCAGCTGCGGACTAGGTATAAAAAGAATCAGCTCAGCTCATTCAGGGCTAGCCGCCAAAGAAAGGACGGATGCTGCGAGCTCCAGCCCAGGAACCGCAGAAGCCCCAGGGATGCTGAGACTCCGGAGAATGCCCAA